GCTAGGTGACCAGCTGCAATGTTCATTTTTAGTGACAGTTTTAAAGGGCGATTTTATTTGCAATGACTGATTATTTACTCCATTGAGGCTGACAATAGCTTTCACACACTCACTTGGAAATTCTAATGTTATTTATTACATACTAGGTACCAGCAGCTTTGTTCATGTGGCTATTTTCAATACTACCAGGTGTATTTATATTAATCTCATTCTAGAGATGAGTAAGCAGGCTCTAAAAGGTTTACTGACACAAGGCCTGGCAAGCAAGTGATAGCGCCAGTACTGTACTTTCCAAGTCCTACCTTTCCCATGATGGCCATAAAACCATCAACAGTCTGCCTCAAACTACCCTAAGATTCCAATCTACTTAAGATTGTTCTACCAGCAAAAATCAAAAAGATGATGCTTTCAGGACACTGAATAAAACCAAGAGGTGGCTAGTACTACAGACACACTGGACATTTCCAAAGAATCACAAAAGCCATGACAACAGGAGAGAACATGATTGTCAGAAAAATTAAAACTGAACTTTAGTTTTGCAGATTTTTAAGAAAATCTATGTTCTACCCTTTTCTAAACCAAAGATTCTAAGAACATTCAGCTGAAAATCTTGCAAAACAAAAAGAACCCCAAATGTTCCTCCCAAATACATCCCTTCATATATTGTTGATAAAAAAGTGTAAATTGCTGAAAGTTTTCCAGGGGGCAGTAACAAAAGCTTTAAAAAAGCAGTGTACTTTCTCTACTAGCAATTCCACTTTACAGTATCTTAAGGAAATAATTAGAAAAAGAAAAGACTTAGCAACACAATGTTCTTTAAAGCAGTTTATTAGTGAGGAATTGGAAACCTAAAAGTTCAACAGTTTAATAAAATGTGGCACAAATGATGAAATATCATGCAGCCATTAAGAAATACGTAGAAATACATTTGACAGTTATGATACTGTTGAATGAAAAAGTTATAAAACAGCATGTACAATTTGATCCCATTTAGAAAACCTATAAATAAATGCACAGAAAAGTCTGAAGGCCATATACATAAATAATAGTGCTTCTTCCTGGATAGTGGACTTGTGATTTTTTTTTTAATTGTGTATGGTTTCTCTTTTTGTCATCACGGCTGACTTATATTACTAAAAAACTTTTTTAAAAAACAATTCTTAAAAAGTCTCCTTTGAAGTAGAAATGAGACCAGAGCTTAGCAACCTGAGGCACAGGGATGTACCCATGTTAGTCTAATACTGCCTTAGTGGTCTGTCAAGATGTTTTGATGTTAAGTAGTCACCAATTAAAAGGCACTGTGTTGAATGGACATGTGGGTGGTAGTAGTGCTGCTTATCTTTCCTTAGACCATGGGGTCCATATTCCTAGAAACCTTTTGCAACAGTATTTTCTATGACACTGAACATAGCCTTATATCTTCACACCCACTTGTGACATAGGCCAGAAGTTGAGAAAAATGTTGTTGGTAAGAGTTACATATGGCAGATAGAAGTTTTCAAGTGAGGTCAGATGTAGGCCTGAAAGAAAAAGGCAAGTTCTGCTAGTTCTGCAGTGGTTCTCAAACTTGACTGCAGCAGGATGACTCAAATGGCTTGTTAAAAGATTGCAGGGTGTCACTCCCAGAGCCTACATTCTAGAGTGACAGATATATACCAAATAAATTACAATTATTAGTGTTAGAACATAGTAAAGCAGATTTAGTTTTTGTAAAATATTTAAAAGGCTACTGCATTGAAAACTTAACACTGCATCTACAGGCCCTTAAAGACAAAAGTACAAATAAGAATATGTGAAAATAGTAATTAGCATTTTAAACAAGTTTCCAGGAAATACTGGTATTGCTGGGCTGGGTTCTTGTACTCTGACAACCCACCACTGCTCTCATTATGATAATGTGGGAGAAAGAGCAGGTTCTATGGAACTCCCTCCCTACCTTTAAAGAGTCTTGCCACAAGGTAAGAGCCAGAAAGGGGTCCAGCAAAAGCTGGCTCTCAGTCCATCTCTCCCTTACAGCTCTTTGCACAGGCTGCAAATACAAGCAGGATAACATATTTCAAAATGTCAGGTGTTTGACAGACAGGGAAGAGATTTTTTTTAGGAATCCTGTCAACAAAGCATGGAGGTAAACTAGAGCTCTCTGGGTAAACAAGTCTGTTGTTTCTGGTCCTGCCCTCCACTATCATCCCCACTCTGCAGTTTATCTCAGAAATGTTCTCCCAACACCAGTTTCCTTTTGTTCATTTGTTCTGGTATAGGATTAACAGTAGACTAGAGGGATGGGTACTAGCCCACTGGGGATGCTGGTTCCAGGTTTCTCTTTCCCATGTTGCCCAGGGTGAGGTACAGTCCCAATTTTGGACCTCATCTCCTGCAATATGAATTTTCTGGATTAAGAATGTAAGAAACCTTTTAATATTACAATCCTGTAGGTTAGATTACTTTAAGGACAAAGGTAGATACAATCCAATCTCTTTTTTGTTTGTAAACGGCTCTACAGATATTTCCAAATTTATTATTTCATACCTATGTGCATCCTTCACATTACTGCACTTTTGAGCTAAGCTCAGGGGTACATTTATTTAAATAACCCTGAATTGCACTATGAAATAGGTTTCCCAAGCTTTTCCTTCTATGCCTAAGAATGTTTTCATGCTTTTACTTGAGGAAAAACTAAACCTACGACTTTAAAATAAGACAAAACCAAAATAAAATACCCAACCAACCAAAGTCCCATTAAAATAAAAAATGTAATAAACACAAAAACAAGTTTACATACTATGGTGAATTTGTGGTAGACAAAGGTACAAGCTTTGAACCTATTAACATAATAGTAACACCATAATGTACAGAAGCCTTCAATAACTCACATTCTTGATGGAAAGCAGAAGGCTCTGCTAAAGAATTTATGCTGACCGTGGGGTGGGGTTAAACCTGGATCTGGGTCTGAGTTAAAGAAGGTGGAGAATGGAACTAAAAAGCAGACTGTGCATGTAAAAGAGGTCTCTCTGGTCCACAGTCATAAACAAGACCCCTGATTGGGTAGGTCAGGAAGCTACAGGGACTAACAAGGGGAAACTGGTATTTATACCAGTTTACTATGTGCCAAATATGTTTACTACGTACCAAGTCTTTTCCTAAAAAAGCACCTAACAAAATAACATTTGCCATATAATCTTACAATCCTAAAGGTGGCATAATTATCATTTTACTGGTAAGAGTTATTTATGAATTGAAGCCCAAAAAAGCAACATAGTATGTAAGGGAGGCTGAATATGAACTCAGGACCATTTCACTACTATATTCTTTTCCTTATTACTCTACTACCTATAAGCCTAATTTAAAGTTGCTGTTTAAACTGACTTAAACTTTTATAATAAATGGTACTGTAAGATTTCCTTTTGAGGGAAAAAAAAGCTTTTTTCAGTTGGTTCTACAGAAAACTAACCACCTTGAGCAGCTTTTGGGGTATGGTAATTCACAGTGAGTCAAAGCTTCTTGTACAACTATAAAATAGCAGAGGAATTTGTCTTACAGTACAGAAATAAAAGTGTTAACAACTAAAATTTAAACTGTGAACTAAATTATTTACATGCTTACCAAGCTCTTCTTACACAAAAGGGTATTTATTTTTTTGGTGGGACTGGAATTTGAATTCAGGGCTTTACACTTATAAAGCAGGTACTCTACTGCTTAAGCCACACTCTAGTCTGTTTTGCTCTGGTTATTTTGGAGATGGGTTTCAGGAACTATTTGTGCGGGCTGGCCTGGAACCTCCATCCTCCCTAGGATTACAGGTGTGAGTCACTGTGCCCGGGTACAAAATGGCATTTAAATACTCAGCTTTTTAAAGTGCAAAAATGTATCATTTTGATAAGAGTACGATTCCCTGAAAAAACAAACAACTTCTGCATGTTATACTTAAGCCAGTCTGAACTACTTATTCTCTCTTGGCTCTAGGCCTAGTACATCTTTTTCTCCTTCTACCTGGAACAATTCCTCCCCAAAGCATTTCTCTCTTCAGAGCTGACTTAGAGGATTCCTACAGACAGTACTGTACCGTGGATTTCTTCCATCAAAACACTAACCCTGTTAATAGGACAAATGCTTACCAATTTTTCTGTATCCTCCACTGGTCTTTAAATCCTGCAAGAGCAAGGACTATATGCATTTAGCTTGTAGTAGTATACCTAGTTAAACAACACAGCATCTGACCCTCAACAAATGTTTGTTGAATGAATGAGAACAACAGAAGTTCTAACACAGGAAAAAAAAAAAAGAAAGGCCAGATTGTTCATTTATGGCAACTGCTGGTTCACAGAAAAAGCCCAATAGCAATTCTCTGGCTCTAAATGTGTCATTAGTAATTTCAACAGTGTATGCTTCATAACCAGAGATCCTGACCAAGATAACCTACATTCATTAAGAAATTTTCAAAGTTTTATTAGTGAGCCCAGAGTAAACAATTTGGTCTGCATATAATTTACAGTGAATGTAGTTGCACTAAACCATATTTTTATACAGACTTGTTCAGTAACAAATCTTTTTTTTTCAACTGTACTGTAGTACGTTCTTAATGAATCAAATTCTATGCATTAAATTGTGCTAATCGAATAATCTTAAAAACTAATTTCAGAGAATATAATTTGTCCCAGATGTTCTAGAACTTTAACTGTATCAGAGGAATATGGCAATGCTTTCCAGGAGTAGTTTTTCTTCAAAGAAACCATTCAGTAGTATCAAATAGCAAAAGGAGCAAACTAAAACAAAAAAACCTAAATACTCCCCCACCCCAACCACAGTATTAAAATCATTTTGATGGCTACTGGACAGTAAGGTAAAATGGTGTAATTGCATTTGTTCAGGAAGCATTCAAAACCACTATTCTTCACAAAAGGAATTTACATCCTGGAGCTCTTTTTTAAATCAAAAGTTGAAAGCAAATTTTAACTTTGTTCTTTGGCTACTGATTATACCTAATAAATGAGTCACTGGCATTAATTCACAATAAATTTATTTTACATAAAAGAAAAAGCTTGCTATTAATGAAAAAGTCAGTAAAAACAATTCTTCTGCTTTAAATTGGGGCTCAAAAGTAGAAGCTGCTTATTAGTGAAACCTCAGTAGAAAGAGAATTTTGTAAGAAAACATTCTTGGCATGAAAGCTCTAACATAAATTCTGTAATGGAATATTTACCATGCAACTTCATTGGCAGAAAGGCCAGTTTCTCATGACTGGTTTTTTTTTTTCTTTTTTTTCCTCCCAGTCTCTTAAGACAGTAACATGGAAGACACTTAAAACTGCTTTATTTAGAGTTAACTGTTTATAAATATGGTGTCATGATGGTAAATTTCAAAGTCCCCCTATTTAATTGAGCAGTTCTAAGTAGGTGATTGGCACCCTGCCCTTCTGATTTCCTCTTTCCCCCATTAGCCAGTCTGAATCCATTCCAATGACACTGAATACAGTGATCACCTACAAAATAAAATATTTCAAGTTATTAATATACACCAAGTAAGACTTATATTTAATTTCTTTAAACTATTTACTATTAAAGGACCTTAACATTATAATCATTTTTTCTGAGAGATAAAGGATTTTATTGGAGGCAGTTTTATATACAAACTATTTAGCAGTTAAAAATTTAAAATATTTCTGTGATGTTCTATTATGTTACAGAATATATCTATATAAATATATTTGAAATCCACAAAATATTCATGACAAACTATTTCCAAGTAAGTAATGAGGAATTTGCTTTTTGTTGTGGTATGGGGGTTCAAACTTGGGCCTTGAGTGTGTCAGGCAGGCACTCCATACCCTCAGCCCTGGAATTTGCATTTTGTTGTAATAGAAGTTACGTGTGTTTGTTACGGATTTTTTTTTCTCAAACCCACATTACTCACCTCGTCTGCCAGAAGTGATAGTTCAGTACTGTTTGCGGCATCATAATCATAGAGAACCCTGGCCTTCCTGCTGCCACTTGACTCTTTAAGGTCACTGACACTGGAAGCAGAGGTGATCACTAGGCCACTTGTTGAAGCCATGGCAGAAGAACCAACCACATTTGATAAAGTAGATGGCAGAGGTGTCCCAGAAGTCTGATTGTTGTTAGAAAGATAATTAGATGGAAAACTGTTGAAAACAAAACAGCCAATTATCTATTTCCAAGTGATTAAAGTTTCTTAATAGTACCACTTGGTGGCACTGTTTACTCTCACCCAACCTCCCCATTGGAAAAGATTTGGAGATGCTATTTATTTATTTAGCAGTACCGGAGTTTGAACTCAGGGCCTTAACCTTGAGTCACTCTACCAGCCCTATTTTTGTGAAGGGTTTTTTGAGATAGGGTCTTGCGAACTATTTGCCTAGGCTGGCTTCAAACTGCGATCCTCCTGATCTCTGCCTCCTGCTTAGTGACAATTACAGGATTACAGGTGTGAGCCACAGGCGCCCAGCCAGATGTTAATAATTTAATACTTAAATGATACAGTGTGTTGTCTAGCTTCTTCATCCCTCTTGGGCCAATTATACAAGAGACAATTCAGGTGGTATTTAAATACAAATCTTTGAAAATTTGTTTCAAAGTTGTCTTTAATAACACTGACTTAAAAAATTTAAAGATCATGGCTATTTTTCCCCAGAAAAAAATGGTTATCCTTAAACACTGCCAAAAACTTATTGGTATGTCTTACTAATCTTTTACTTTATGAGTTATTAAAAATACCAACAAAAAGCTAAACATCAGATACTACTATAAGAGTGAAGCTTTCTTATTTCTTTGAGAAACATTTAAATACCTGAACTGTCATAAAGCCAACACATCATATTTTCCTATTCATTCAAATAAATACTTATTATCTAATACGTTCAGCATTATGACCACAAGCCGAAGACAAAGAGATGAAATGATACCATCCCCTGAAGGACATACAGATTAAGTGAGGAGACAGACATTCAAATAATTCATTATGATAATTATTACTCATAAGATTCAATGGGACAATATGGCAACTATTATAAGTTTATCTATTTTTAAGGGAAAAATTAAAGTTTTATTTCAGATCAGTGAAATCTTGTGATTAATATGCTGGTAAGCACAATTTGAAGACAATTAGAATTTTCAATTTATTTTAAGTTACTGTTTCCCCAATAAAACTAAATGGAAAAAACAGTATAAAATGGCTAGCATCTAATCCTTCTAATTCAACTTTTTCTAAGGTCAGAAATGGTTGAGAATTGAACCCAGGGTCTTGTATGTATGCTAGGCAAGTGCTTTACCACTGAATCACACCCCCAGTCCTCAAATTTAAGTTTTAGTAAATCTCTTAAGTTAGAAGTATACAAGCCCTCTTATTTGATAAATTGGGTGAAATTCATCCCTCTGGAAAACAGAATTCTCCTTTTCTTTTTATGATCATTGTACAATCTGAAAATCATAGTCAACCATCAGCAAAATTCCTGTATCTTTAACTTCACCCTTTTATGTTAGTGTTTATTTCCTATAATCTCATGGTTGAACCTAGAGTTGGAGTAGGAATCCTATAGTCTTCATGACTATTTTTAGATTCTTTTCTCTTACCAATTCTCTGAACCTCTCAATTTCATGTTTTTTAACTACATACTTTCACTATCTCTTGTTGCAATCATCTGCAGATGCTTCATTTCTTCATTTGTTCTTTTTGTTTCTAAAAAAATTTTAATTTTAATTCCTGGCAGTGTAATTTTTGGAGATTTAATATCCATATAGACAATTTTTCCAAAACTTTAGCCTCTTATAGTCATGAATTCTCTAGTGACCTTATTTGTCACCCATTCCCATAGTCAAAGCTAGACCATATCAATTCCAATAAATAACTACAACTTTTCTAATAATAATTAGCATCCTATCCTCTCATCATCCCTCTTTCTCATACTCACTTTAACAAGTCCACCAGAATATATGACCATACCAACACTTTACTCATACCCATTTTTAATTAAGATAATAACACCCTTGCATATACCCCTGTCTTTTACTTCATTGTACTCATTTGGTAAAAACTTCCCAATTTATCTATACTCAGTGTCCATGCATCTCCTGTGACAGAAAAAAATATAAAATCATGCTGTTGGGTGTTAATGTGATTTATGATTAGGAACATCAGATGGGTCCACAATGCTTCCTAGCAATTACACTACATTTTCTAGTCCATTCACTTATCCTCAAAATTCCAGCAATTTCCCCAACCCTTACACTCAGTTGAGCTTGTGTCCTTTTAATTGAGAGGAAGTAAGAACAATCAGGGGCTGAACGCGTGGCTCAAATGGTAAAGCATCTACTTTATCAGCACAAACCTCTGAGTCAAACCCTTAAAAAAAAAAAAAAAAGAACCACTAGGAAATTGGTCATTTTTCCTCTTGCTTTCAATGAGCTGTCTGTATTCTTGAGGTTAATTCCTCTGCATGTGCACAGATTCTTCCTTGCCTCTTAAGATCACTCTAGCAATTCCCCCCCTTTTTTGTTACATTTTCTCCCTCTGTTGTATCATTCATGTTGGGTTACAAACATGCCCTTATTTCTTCTATTTAAAAAAAAAACAACCCACCAGATTACACTTTCTCCTCAGGATACTGCCCTACTTTTCTGTTCTTCTTCATAATAGAACTCCTTGAAAGACTTACCTAAACTTACTGTCACAATTCTTCTATCTTACAAATTAGCTTTGTCTCTTTTATCAGTTAGTCTCACAAATTTAAATATCTGTGATATGCTGATGCTTCTAATACTTCTCTTTACTCCCAAACCTAATCCTAATTTGGTTTATCCTAATTTGGATACTGCCACTTAAATATTTGACAGATACCTCAAACTTGTATAAAACTGTGCTTCTAATATACCTGATGTAATTCCTATTTCTGAAACTTGCTCCTCTTGTGACATTTCCCCATTTTGATCACCCACAATTCTATTCTTTCAGTTGCTCAGGAAAAAAACTTGCAGTAATTCTTTTTTTTGGTTGTATTGGTGTTTAAACTCTGGGCCTCACACTTGCTAGGCAGGCACTCTTAACCATTTGAGCCATTCCAGCAGGCCACCCCCTGCCCCCCACCATTCCTAAAGTTTTAGACAGCTGTTTTGTGTTGGGTTTTTGAGATAGGGTCTTGCTTTTTGCCTGAGCTGGCATCGAACCCCAATAATCCTGATCTCTGCCTCTCGAGTAGCTAGTATAGTGAGCCACAGGTGCCTGGCAAAAGCTTCTTTTATATGGCACTAAAAATGTATCCACTTACGTTATCTTCTCATTTCTGTTAACATCCTTCTGTGCTAGAAAAGCTAAAAATGTTTTGTTACCTCAGAAGTCTGACAATTACTTAAGAAATCTAATTCTATGCAAGTTAACAGCCTTTCATTCTTCTTATTGTCATTCCTGCTTATTAGATGCAAATATCAATTTTTTCTTTTGTCAGGACTTTTATAATGTGAAAAAAAAATGACCACCTTCCCAGTTGTTTCTGGAGGTCTAACATGTACTGGTAACACTGTGCATAGTAAGTCATCTGGGCTTCTACAAAGTCATTCAGACAGCGGAGATGATGGGCCTGTAAAGGAAATGTACAATAAGTTCACAGCAGCTCTTAAAAGTGGTAAATGCTAAGGAGATGGCACGGCAGGTGACAGAAGACATTATTGTGAGAGAGAATCACAGGGTTATAAAGATTGATCTTGGTAAACAGTAGAGTCAACAAAAGCCAACATGAAGATTTGATGAGTGTGGAAGAAGAGGGTTATGATAAGTAAAACTTTAAGATATTTTTTCACATAACTTGGGAAGCACAACAATTAAAATTTCCTTAACAAATGGCTGAAAAGCAAGCTTAGTATTTAGTCCTCAAATAGCTTTAGGATTATCAAAGTTCTTTTTTGTTTTGAGACAGGGTATTGGTTATGTTGCCCAGATTGGCCTCAAACTCATCCTCCTTCTGCTTCAACCTCCAGAGTGCTACATCAAATTCTTTGCTCTAAATGAAATGCCAATGAACGAACACTCACATGTGTACTGCTGATTCCCTCTAGCAGAAGTCTGGTAATCTCTGCTTGACGATCAAATTCACTTTGAGTTATTCTTAATTCCTGTTCAGACTTAAATTAAGACAGAGTTTTAGAATCTCATTAGAAGACTTAATCTATTTTATTTCCATTTGCTTAGACAGTTAGAAAAATCCACCAAACAAATCCCATGGTATAATTTGTTAATTCGCTGATTCTTCTAAACCTTATTTTTGTATCATTCAACCTCTACAAAAATGACTCTTTACTAGCACTTGACTCAAAATTCTATTAAGACCAAACCTAAGTGACATACTCTTAAGAGCCTAGAAAACCTACTACAGACAAGTCAGGATTTTCATTCATTTTCTAATTTCTGCTTTGCTAAATTTAGGAGTACTATAGTTTTATAAGTATAAGATAACATTTCTGTTAAAAACCTCTCAAATATTTCTATGTTTTTTTACTCTGAAGTACTACTGCCCTACGATGTTTCTAAGATGTAATAAATATAAAACAAGATCTGAACTTTTTCCTTTCACACCCCATCTCCATTTCACTTTGGTGGCCAATAGTTAATGAAGTGAGCCAGTCAACACAGAAGTAGCACAATGTAAACAATCAGTTACTATAATATCCCACACCCGGCAGAGGGAAGAACTGACTGCGATACTGAATTTATAAAAACAAGCTTGAATTACACAAAAGTAAAAATTAAAATTTCAGTAAAACCAAATACTTTAGCAGGGTTAAAGTTAGCTTTATCTAGAAGCTAGTATGAAGCAGAAAAAAGTGCCAGGAGAAGAAAAGAATCCTTTCCCCAAGGAAGGGAAAGGAAAACCAATCACTTCAGTGCTGCATTTGTACTACTTATTGT